GCCTCTCGTTAAAGGGGATCGGAACATCGCCCCTTTTTGTGACTCGTTGACGGTCTCCTCGTTCGCTGGGATGTCGAAGCGCAAAGATTCTGTATTCTTGTTCCATTAGCATTGCGCGGGAAGCTCATTCGCGATACTCATGACAAACTGATGCACTTAGGGGAGAAAAAGACCACGCTGACCTTGGGGAAAGATGTTAAGGCATGCCACAAATGCGCACGGCGGAAGGCGCCGGCACAACCCTATCGCGTACCGCTGCCATCGATACGGGTTTCACGCGTCAACTAAATTGTTGCCCTGGATATATTGAGTCCGTTTCCCGTCACCCCCCGGGGGCACAAGTATTTACTCGTGGGTATAGAGTACCTTACTCGCTGGCCTATGGCATGGCCGCTAGTGGACCAATCTGCGGGGTCGATCGCAGAAGCTTTCCTACAAGGATACGTTCTCGATAAGGGCGCCCCAGAGCACTTGCTCACCGATTAAGGCAGGAATTTCTCGTCCCGATTACTTAAAGAAGCATGTGATTCGTTGGGGACTAAAAAGATTTGAACGTCCCCGTACCACCCACAAACCGACGGGATGGTCGAACGCCTGCATAGGACGCTAACGTCTATGCTATGCCACCAGGTTAACTCCTCGCAGGATGATTGGGACCTACACGTTCCGGCGACCCTGGCCGCTTATAGACTGGCCCCGCATGCCTCGATGGGGTACTCACCTTTCTATTTGATGTATGGTCGCAAACCGGAGGCACTGGCCTTGGTCAAATTGGGTGTGCGAACACAAGGGTAGTCATCGACGGTACCTGCTCCCATGCAGGTGGCATTGGACCGTCTGAAGGAGGCTAGGGAGGCCTCGTTGGGTAACACAGCACGGCGGCAAGCCGCCAACGAATGATTGCATGGTACACAGCCTCCTCGAGAGCCCTGGCGTGTGGGGGACAGGGCTTGGTTGCACTGCCCCATGGTACCGGTGGGAACGTCTCCGAAGTTCCATCGGCCCTGGCAGGGTCCCATCGAGATTGTAGAGGCTCTCCAGGACCAGAGTGTACGGATTCAGTTTGGTCGTCGCACATGGTATGTTCATCCGTCGCGCCTTAAGAAATTTATATCGCCCTACGACGCGTCATCTCCGATCCCAGAGCGGTCTGTATTGGATGTGTCTGACGAACCTGTGGTACGGTCGCATGTGAACACGCCTCAGCAGTCTGCCTCCCGTGTGCCTGCAGGACCACCCCTATTGACTCGGAGAGAGGGTTCTGGCAGATTTACTGACCGTAAGCCGGCTAACCGGCCGCAACCTCGGGATACTGTCCGGAACGCACAGGGGCGGGGGGCGGTCCCGCCGGCGGATGGTCGCCGTGACAGGGATGGGCATGCGTCAAGGACCGGACGCAGCCCTGAATTAACGTGGGAGCATTCCCCGCCCTTGCCCCACAGTGTCCCGTTCAGGGGAAATGGGCTGGCAGCTGGAACTCGCTCCCAAGGAAGAACCTTCCATTAACTTTACGTCTCGTAGGGCTGTTGTACAATGTTATTCTGAGATGCATTGTTGTTGTTATGTCATTGTTGTACTCCACTACCCGGAAGTCAAATTATTGTCGTAGCTAGGACGGCTAGATTTTTCATCAGGGGGGGGTGATGTCGTTGAATAAATATGCGCATGGGGATAAAAGGTGAGATCGTGCGGGGGGGCAGGACAGTACGGGTCATATTGGGAAAGCCAGGTGCGATGGTTGGGACGATGAGGTAATGATTAGGTCAATTAAGCTAGGGTGCCAGAGACGGCTGTGATTGGCTGGTGTTGTTGTCAGGGCTAAAGTGGCGTCTTAATGTCTGGGCAAGGAACAGGTGCACAAGGACGCAGAGCGTCAGTGGGACGCGGGCTAATTAATTGGGGAATAATGAGAACGGGGATAAATTGGGGAGACGCGAGGATGGATTCGGGGATTGGACGAGGCAAGACGTGGAGCGGAGCTGAAGTGAAGGCAGCCAGCAGTAGAGAGAGGAAAGCGGAGCTGAAGTGAAGGCAGCCAGCAGTAGAGAGAGGAAAGCGGAGCTGAAGTGAAGACAGCCAGCAGTAGATAGAGGAAAGCGGAGCTGGAGTGCAAGCAGCCAGCAGTGGAGAGAGCACAGTGATAGCGGAGAGTAGAGAGCAGAGAGGAAGCAGCCAGCAGTGGAGAGAGCACAGTGATAGCGGGGAGCGGAGAGCAGAGATGAAGCAGCCAGCAGTGGAGAGAGCACAGTGATAGCGGAGAGCAGAGATGAAACAGCCAGCAGTGGAGAGAGCAGAGTGATAGTGGAGATAACGGAGAAGCAGTGATAGTGGAGATAACGGAGAAGCAGTGATAGTGGAGATAACGGAGAAGCAGTGACAGCGGAGCTGACAGAGAAGCAGAGATTGGAGAGGCAAAGACGGCGAGTGAGTCGAGCAAGGCGCGGCGAGCGAGACGTGGCAAGCAGGGGAACTGTGAAGCATTGAGGGCATGTGGAGAACTGGTGAAGGGGTGTTGGAAGAAAGAAAAAAGTTGTCCGAGTGAAATCAACCACTACGAATGTAAACGTGATACGCCACTTCGTTGAGCTATCATTTGTGGCCAGGTCTTTTCTGAAAAAGAGCTATATAGCTCAGTGGGCATTACATGATAAAAACAAAAATAGTTCACAGAATGGCTGGGAACTGAACTCAGGCTACTGGGCTCAGAGTACAGTGTCCTAACCACCACCGCTGTCCCCTCCACCCCATCCTCTTCTGTTCGAGTGATAAGGAATTGTATTTCAGTTCAATATTGGAACACATCACCCCATACGCTCGGTGGCGGGGATGGTTACCGTCCTTGACCTGTAATCGGAGGTTGCGAGTTTAAATCTCCCCTCGGGTTCACTTCATCTATCACTTGTTTTTGGGTCGATAAAATAAGTGCCATTTTGTGGGAAGTTAACAATGGTCATCCCCCCAGAAAGATTGCCCTCCCGATCCTCTGCGTAGGAATGTGGAACTTCCCCATGTTATCTCCCAACCTTAGTAGGTGAACGCTGCCCATTTACTCTTGTGAGCAGAAAGGAAGAAGCTTGGCTTCATTGCATTTGTGGCTGTTCCTTTTGTAGCACAGATTGCAGGCAGGGTTTCACTCTTAACAAATATGAAGATATTCTTGGTTCTTTCGGTAAGTCACGTAGAAGGGAAACAATAAAATTAAAAAAATGAAGATGGTGTTTTTTACAAGAAAAAAACGTTAAAATATATATATCATTTTTTAATGAAATAATAAAACGTTATATATATTATAACTACTGTATTTTTTATTGTGTTATTAGTGTTGTGTGGTCATGAAATGACGATGTTCCCAGCTGGAACTATACGGTGAGCAGGGCACCACCTTGTGTCAGAGCTCTGAGAAGCTGACCTGAGAGCTACCCTCTGAATTAATCTCAATTTGTCTCTTTGTACGCACAAGTAGGCCCACTTTGTTTGCTCTCTGAAAAGAGTTTTTGTTGTTGTCACGTGTCAATCAAAGTTAAAACATTTGAGCGAGTTTAGAGCAGGATTATTGTGAAACTGAGGATTAAGCGGGCAGCCGAGGTGGAGTGTCTAATCTTGGCAGCAGACAGTTTCACATGTAGTAAACATGTACAGTACAGTAGTAACATGTACAGTAGTAACATTCTGCGCACAACTCCCCGGTGTTGGCGGTCTGTAGGCGCTACTACTACGAACACTCGCGAATACCAGTCCGGCGGGTGTCGCGAATCGGGAGTTGGTATGTGTTTAGTAACTAGTGAATACGGAACCCGTGCATAATGAGTTTACTCTACTTGTTTTACTGTACTTGTTTTACCCAGAAAATCAGCCTCGCCGAGTCTCAAGGCTCTTTTTCAGGGAGGGTCCTGCCAAGTTTTCACAGGAGGGGAGGGAGGGGTGGGCGGGCAAAGTTGCTGCCGTGTATTAATCCCAACCGACTAATTCTCAGGTCGTTATTCAGTATTGCAATGTTTGGCCACTAACATTTACAATTGTATGGTTATTGTTTTTTAGCAGAGGGAAGATACGGGAGAACCCGGAGGAAGCCCGTGGGTAACAGGGGGCGGGGGGGGGGATATACAAACTCTGCACGGAAAGGCGCCCGAGTTGCTGAACATATTGACCCCTTGTGCGGGCACCTCCATTGGATGTCGGTCTGGTTTTGACTGGAGTTTAAGATTCTTCCCCTCACCTACAACAGGGCACTCATTGATGCTGCTCCCTCACAAGTACAATACAGGACCTTCCCCTCACCCAAGTGTTCCAACAAGAGTACTTTGGTGTTCCGAGTTTGGCTTGTTGCGTGTACCGAGGTCGCGACTGCATGCGACCACGACGAGGATGGTGGTGGGTGACCGGGCTGTCTCCTCGTGTGGCCCCCAGGCTGTGGGATTCACTTCCACTGGACGCTCCCTCCACTGACTCCCCACCTCACTTTATTCAAATCGTGCCTTAAGACGCCACTTAATTTTTAAGGGCTTTTTAAATTTAATTTGGGATAAGATCTGACCGCTGTGATCCTGTGTGTGTGTCTGTGTGTAAATTTTAAGCGGTAGTGTAGCGGTTATCGGGCTGTCCTACAAACACAGCGACCCGAATTCCATTCCCGATTTTATAAACCGGTCCTGGGCCTCCCCTAGGTCGTCTCAGCCTCAAATGAGTACCTGGTGCGGTGTGTAAACATCGCCACGAGGGAGACAAAGGCAGTCGGGCGTTGTGCTGGCCACCCACCCTCTCGTGTGCCGTCCTAGCCTTCATAGGTGACACTCACTAACACCACTTGCCTCTCGAGTCTGTGAAAGGCTATACGGGGGATCTTTGTATTTTTAATTTTGTACAGTGCCTTGTGATATCCGAGTGAAAGGTGCTTTCGAAGTGTCAATTATTACATTATTGTCGCTGTGATGCACGAGTGTTACCACTGCATCACCACCTCAACCTTGTAATGTGACCGTTGTGCGCATTTCCTCCCTCACCTCGTGACGTTGTTCTGCCGCCTCCTCCCCTCGTCCAGATTGTCGCAGCTCGTCGCGGTTTCGGGTATGTGTCCGTATTCCAGAAACGAGTTGTAGACAGCCGATGCGATGATGGCGACGCCGTCCCTCACGCGCAGCAAGAAGTCGTAATCCCACACGTCGAAGGAGACAGACAGCAGGCCCACGGGGAACTTCTTGGGAACTTCATCTTCGTCTCCGTAGCTGAGGCCGGGAGCAACCCACACGGTGCCAGGTGCGGTGAGTCCCACACGCTCCGCGATGCCAAATAGGTGCATGGCCTCCAGGCGAGAGCAGTACAGGAGATTCACCTTGGTGGTGACCTTGGGAGAGTTGGGGGGGGGGGCACACGCACGCGTGGGGAAAATAAGTTACAGCCGGCAGCCACAGATAGCTCTTCACACAACGCTGGGCCCATTTCTAACAAACAAATAAAATAACGTTTACGTAAAAAAACACAGGAGGAGGAACGGACGCTGAATGCAAAAGTTGAGAAATCAACGGCTCGCTCTCCCCTCTAAGTTCCTGCGTGCAGACTGCAGTCGCCAACTACCGACCACGGACCGCTTAACTTCGCACTCCCGCAAATACAAACTGGAAGGTCGTATCGGAAATTCAACCATCTCTCGGGAGTTGGTTCAATCCAGACCCTGGCGCCTGCTGTATATTTGGATTTTGCATGTTCTCCTCGTGTTCATGTGGATTTTTCTCCGGGTCCTGCAGTTTTTCCCTCCACATTTCTAATCAACATGTGCCGAAGAGTATTTGGCTGCTATACATTTCCACGTAAAAGGTCACTTCGTTGAGCTATTAATTGTGATAGCCAGGTTGCTTCTGAAAAAGAGCTATACAGCTCAGCGGCCCTTACCTGGTAAAATACAACAGTCATAGTCTAATGTGGGTAGAGCGCACGTTAACTCAAGGGGCTCCCACTCTCTCCAGCAAAGTTTCATTTAGGCAGTCGTGTAGGCATGGGATGTGGCATGATAGCGCACTTACTTGTTGTCCGTCTAAACTGTCATCCAAGCACGTACGCCTTCTAATGAGTCGGGGATATGTTCGAGGAAATATGCTAGTTCCCTACATTTGGAGAACACAGTGATCCGTTTCAATGTCGACTCAAGCAATTTACTGTGTTGTCTTCAGAACTTTATGTTCGTGGCTGAATTGATTTAACAATTATTTCACCCGAGGAACCGAATTCGGAAATACATAATTTATTAATCTGTGCCCTGCTATGGATTAGCCTTCCCGGACATACAAGGCCAAAGTTGGAGAGGTCATTGAAGCTTCGTTTAACGATGCAAATCCAGGGAATCCTAGTTCAGCAGTTGGTTACAACATATGAGCATTTCACAAATGAAAGAGTGTGATAATAATATCTCCCTCTCAAATTATCTGTAATTCTCTCAAACCATTTTGAACAAAAAAATTAAAACCAATCATAATTGAACACAAATCTGTTGCACAAATACATTCGGATTCAAGCAGAGATAATGCTTGAGCCCAGACCAATAATTTCACTTGTCGGGACTATCTGAAGTGACTTCACTTTAAGTGGTTTCAATTTCTCTTTGTAGCCAATACCAGTGAATTATTATGATAACCATTTGAAATGAGTGGGAGGTTATCGAGTAATTTAACGCTCATGATCCGCGTATATAATGGGCACTTCTAGCTTAGGTGGTACCGAATTGTACTCTGGCCCAAGGATTACGAGAAGCTACAAAAGGAGATTCCCACCTGACCTCCCGCACCTCCGATTAGCACAGTTTGCTACGTACAGTGCAAAAGCAGTTCAATGTACGCACATACATACATATGTACCTTCTTTAGCAAGGTTTCAATCTTGGCCTCATCGTCGCCCTTCATGTCGACCGTGATGATCGCTTGGATGTCCCAGCCCACGAAGCTGTTGTCAATGATGCTGCGCAGGCTGCTCACGAAGTCCACGTGCCCCGGGCGGAGGCTCGTGACGATGCTGAACTGATTCCAGTCGTACTCCTCCATGAGCTTCATGATGACACGCGCCTGCTGATGCAATGATGCTCCGAACTGCATGAACAGCGACCCTTTCTCCTGTAGCACAGCACGGTTGTGGGGGGGCTCCTGTTAGGGACCCTTTTTTCATGTGCGCGGCCTCCGTGAGATATATAGACACACATAGGGTGGCCCAAAAAAGTCAGAACAAGTTGGGGTTATCTCTACTCGGTTCTATTCCTTTCTTCATTACTGCTGATTGTTGGCGTTTCGTTTGTTGCCACCTTCCCCCTCACCTCTGATCAGCATGGCTGGCTACTTACGGTGCGAAAGAAGTTCAACATACATACATATACAGACTCACACGGAGACATATGGACTAACATACATACACACATATTTACACACATATTTAATTTAAAATGTAGCCTTTGGCAACCAATATTATCCATTTTGGTTATTTAGATCACGTGAATATAATAATAATTGAAATGTATAATGCGCATTCCATCCTAGGATCCCAATGTGTCGTTAAACCCGCCACCACCCAACACAGCCAATTAGTAAGGTTTGTCAGGTAAACAAAACAGGCCAATTCGTTGAACTAGTAACGAATTGGCATCTGAACTCGTAACGAATTGGAATGTTTTGTTTACGTGACAAGCGTTATTAATTAGCTGCGTCGAGTGGTGTCGGGTTTAACGACATTTATTTTTACGAAATTTTACCCTAAAACCTCGATTACGGATATTTCATTTATTTAAATGCTGGCATTAAAACAAATTGTTTATTCTTTAAGTTAATATTTTATATATTGCCATTATTAATATATTTGTTGTCTGTCAGATGACATTTGAAATTTTTAAAAAAGTCAAAATTGGGGAATCGTATTGATGTTCAGAGATAAAAATAAAACGTCCGAAATTCATCAAATATTCCTGTAAATGGAGGTAAAATTTGAACATCTGTTAAAATAAATAAAATAACCCTATGTGATTTGTTAAAACAAATATAATAACTCTATGTGTCCTGACGTTTGGGCCACTGCACAAATGTTGCACGGGTAATTGCAGAAAGGGTGCGTTTTTGCGCTGAACCAGACACACATTCATTGCAAATTTGGGAAGTGGACCAATGTTTTATGAGCCTGTCTGTCATTCCTCCAAATGACAGAGAAAATAACGACACAGAGTGAGCCATATAAGAGGCATAGTTGTGGACTTTTGGGATACAGTGTGAGCATTTAAGGCCTGTGTGAGGTAGGTGTGTAGCTCAGAAGCCAGAGTGCTGAGCTGGTACTGCCGAGATCCTGGTATTCAAATCTTGGGTTCAAATATCCTGCAATTTAATTGGGTTGTCAAGTGCATTAATTTTAGATTATTAGTCCAGTAACCAATGACTGCACACACACACAAACAATACGCAAACTGTTGTTCTGTACATAACTTGACAGAAATCCTAGCTCTGAGAATTAAATATATTTGTTTCACTGTCAAGTCACGAGATAAATATTATTCTCAGTGGCAGAGCTAGTGGGAAAGTGTTACTCCCTGCTGTGTGCACCAGAGGTCACTTGAACATATCTCAGAGGTATCCTGGTGGTATCCACTGTTCGAGCACGAAGGGCTGCACTCCCTTAAAAAAAAAACCTATTTTTTATTTTACTAGGTACATGTAAGGCCCACTAAACTATTTTTCAGAAGCTACCTAGTAACAAATGATAGCCCAATGAAGCGGCTTATCACGTGAAAATTTACCGCAGCCAAATACTCTAAACACATGTTTCTAAATGTGTAGGGAAAAACTGGAGGACCCCGAGAAAAATCCACATGACCACAGGGAGAGAGAACATGCAAACTTCAAATATAAAGGCATTAGGGTCGGGATCGAACCCACGACCTCCTGTATACCAGGCAAAGTAATTAACATTTTGAGATATCAGAATGGATGCTTATTGATGCAATCGCCACTAATATATATCACATTACATGCAGTATTCAATCATGAGAATATCCAACCTATTCTGTATGGATTTTAAGGAGGAAAAAAATATCGTATGGTTGTGCCAAAGTACCGCGTGACACTTCATCTGCAATATACAACACTCTCTCAGAAACAGCTCGATATCCTGAGAATCGAGAACGTCTGCAAATAACACAAATGTACAGCACTTCTGTTGTGATGTAAGGGTGACTGGGCAAGAAGAAGCCATTAAACTCCAAGTGTAGAAAGTCTTCCAGGCAGAGTAGGCTGCGTTTACATTTCTGGGAATATGACACCAAACGCTAATTACTAAAATAACCATCGAGTCATTCAGTGAACATTCATTTACGTACTATCTTTCACAGCCAAACGTTGTACAGTTTGTTTTTCTTCAAGACTGAACAAAAAATCATTCTACAGAGGTGTAGATGTATACATGTACATCTCTAGCTGTGCAATATGCAGGTTTTCTGAACCTGTCTAGATTTGAACTTAACGCGAAGGGTAGATTTATGCCAATATTCTTGTCATTAACTCTCCGGGACCTGACACGATCGTCGGTTTTCAAATATGCCATTAAACGTGCCGATGTATCGACCAAATTCAGAATAATAGAACTCGTCAACGGTGGCTATTTAAGGATTTTCATTACCTGAATTTAACATCGATACATGACGATTCTATCTGGATTTTTACTGCAGTAATAGGTATTAAACACATATGCTACTCTTTCAAAGACACGCACACACAAGTTCATAGCCTATTCGAAAATAAAAACAATTCTCAACGTATACTGTCTTAATTTTCCGGTGTTCATTGTGCATTTAAATTGCTGTTGATTGTAAAAAAAAATAATTCGTTCCGAAGTGAAATACAGGTTAAAAAAAAACATAGCGCAGGGCTTGAACAAGAGCAATCGCCCAAAACATTTCATGGACCAGAGATACTGTACAATCATGGGGAACTTAAGTGCAGGCCAGGATGAATGACTCCCAATACTTTCAGAGCGTCGGGATATTTCATTAAACTATTGATCATTTCCCCACTTCTATCACATTTAATCTGTTGGGCAGGAGGACCAAGTCGGGCAGGTTCATAGCACTGCACAATATACATAGATATAACTGCTCAACCCAAGCTATAAGTGCCCTGATACTTGCATTGTCTTTGTGCTGTTTATCTTTTGGCATTCTCTGGTCTAACATTGCTGAGACAGAGCCACGACGAAGGCCAAACAGTTTCAAAGACAATGCAAACATTATCTTGCTGTGGTTTTCACACCTGATGATGATTGCTTGTGCTTCAGTCGAAGCGTCGTGAGTATTTTAATGTTTTAGATTTTTATTATTTTATTGTTTCCCTTCTACGTGACTTTACCGAAAGAACCAAGAATATTATCAGAGCATGTTTGTTTGTATCTTTTGCCACAAGTATGTGTGGTTAATGCAGACCTGATGCCTTGCAAAAAGGTATACATTTGGTATTTGAACATCTTAACACCTGTTTTATTGCCAGAAAGAGTAAAAACCTATTCTTACATTTCACCTTTGTGGACACTGGCAAAAAGGTCCCAAAAATAAAATGTAATACATAACGCCTAATAGAATCAACTAAACAAATAATAGGAGTTACACCCCAGGTTTAATTTAACGATGAGCAAGTGATATGAGGGGTTGCAGAGGGAAATGCCAAACAGGAATATTGGGAAAGATGACGGGGACTGAGAGAATGGCAGTTGTGAGGGAAAGGTTTGTTTGGCAGACAGGACAAGGGAGGCAGTACAGAATCAGAATATTTATTTATACTGGAGGAAGAATCCGATTACCTATAAAGCTCTTTTTCACAGATGCCCAGTCGGGGCACGGGGCAAGAACATTAGAACAACAAACAAAACAAAAACCAAAACACGACAGGAGTGCAAAATACAAGAAAGGTAAACAACTCACTAAAACACATACAAATAAATCTAAACCATCCCCATCCTACCAGGCAAAGCCCACTGACGTATTAACTTGTTGTTCAGAAGCAACCTGGCCATAAATGATACCTCAACAAAGTGCCTTATCATTGAGCCAGTTATAGCAGCAAAATATCTAAATAGTCGAAACGCATGTTTCTAAATGTACAGATTAATGAGAATGCAGTGAACAACGACACAAGTAGTACTAATGAGGCAGACTATAGGCACGACTGGTGCGCAGTGTAAATTACATCAGAATACTGCATTTATACTGGAAGAATCCGATGAGCTATAAAGCTCTTTGGAGATGTCCAGTAGGGGCACGGGGTCATAACGTTACAACAACAAACAATACAAAAGCGCAATGAGACTGCAAAGTATAGGAAAGGTAAACAAATCACTTTAAAAAAAATATACACCTAAAATCTTGACTTAAAGCTTTCGTGACTGCAGGAATTCATATTCTTGGGTCTTTCGGTAAAGTCACGTAAATAGGTTCAAAGAAAATAAACATTACTGCAGACGTGGCAAGATCGGAAATCGGAAATCGCTGCAATCCTCAAAAACGCAAAGACACCTATTAGCAACATCAGTAAAAATGAGTGCTTTGAGCTTTCTTTATTAAAAAAGAGAGATGACATTGTCATCCTCTCAGCCGACAAAGGCAATGCCAGTTATCATGGACAAAAGCACATACAATAACAAAATGCAGGACCTACTTAATGGTAACTATACCAAAATTAAAAGAGATTCCACCAACCGCCTCGTTACGAAAACCAACAATATCATTACTGATATCACTGATTCGACATCTTTCATCGAACCAACCAAGCGGTTTTCCATAAAAAACCTCTGCTGCGAAACCACCCAGATTGTATGGCTTACAAAAAATCCATAAAGGGACACCCCTTCGTCCTATCGTCTCCACCATTGACTCACCCACCTACAAACTGGCCCGATTTATGTCTGAGACCTTACAACCATTCACTGGTAAGACCACCTCAGCTGTACTCAACTCAGCTCATTTGGTATCGTTAATTAAGGACATCTCATTATCTGCAGGTGATTTGCTCGTTAGTTTTGATGTGGTCTCTTTGTTTACTAAAGTACCTGTGCTTGACACCATTGCAATCATTGAAGATTTGGTCCAACAAGG